ACATATATTTCTCGCACCATCGCATTTCATAGCAAAATCGTATACATTTAAAGAAGTCGAGGAAAATAAGAGAGTAAGTAGGGGCAAAAACGAAAAAATAATCAACGTCTCCGGAAAGGCTTGTTTTCGAACACGAAACCACTATTTGATATGGATAACATATATTTATCGCACCATCGCGTTTTGAAGCAAATTCGTATACATTTAAAGAAGTCGAGGAAAATAGGAGTAAATAGGGGCAAAAACGAAAAAAATAATCAACGTCTCCGGAAATGCTTCTTTTTGAAAACGACACCATTATTTGATGTGAATAACATATATTTCTCGCACCATCGCGTTTCGTAACAAAATTGTATACATTTAAAGAAGTCGAGGAAAATAAGAATAAATAGGGCAAAAACGAAAAATAATCAACGTCTCCGGAAAGGCTTGTTTTCGAACACGACACAATTATTTGATGTGGATAACATAAATTTCTTGCACCATCGCGTTTTGAAGCAAATTCGTATACATTTTATGAAGTCGAGGAAAATAAGAGTAATTTGGGCAAAAACGAAAAAATAATCAACGTCTCTGGAAAGGCTTGTTTTCGAACACAACACCATTATTTGATGTGAATAACAAATATTTCTCGCACCACGTGTTTCGTAACAAAATTGTATACATTTAAAGAATTCGAGGAAAATAAGAATAAATAGGGGCAAAAACGAAAAAATAATCAACATCTCCGGAAAGGCTTGTTTTCGAACACGACAACATTATTTGATGTGGATAACATTTATTTCTCGCACCATCACGTTCGAAGAGAATTCGTATACATTTTATGAAGTCGAGGAAAATAAGAGTAATTGGGGCAAAAACGAAAAAATAATCAACGTCTCTGGAAAGGCTTATTTTCGAACACAGCACCATTAGTTTCTGTGAATAACATATATTTCTCGCACCATCGCGTTTCGTAGCAAAATCGTATACATTTAAAGAAGTCGAGGAAAATAAGAGTAATGTAACAGCCCAGCTCACCCGCTACAGAATATTGTCCGCTTTGGGTATAGCCCAGATCATTCCCTCACGGTTTTGCCTTTGGGAGCTAGCTCACCAAAACGCGTCCTGTAGGTTGAGGTGTCCACAGCCACTTATATGGCATGCTTCGTTCTCCTCAACAACCGATGTGGGACATCTTTTACTAGACTCTACCCCCCTTGGAGGGCCCAGCGTCCCCGCTGGCACACCAGTCCGGGTACTGGCTCTGATACCAAACTGTAACAGCCCAGCTCACCCGCTACAGAATATTGTCCGCTTTGGGTATAGCCCAGATCATTCCCTCACGGTTTTGCCTTTGGGAGCTAGCTCACCAAAACGCGTCCTGATGATGCAGCGCATCCCACATCGGGTTTGAAAGGAAACGAAGCAGGCCTTATATGAGGATGTGGATACTTTCACTAGTAAGACGCGTTTTGGTGGGTGTGTATTGAAGCCCAGCCAAGAACAAAGCCGTGCGGGTGGCGGAAGTAGCCCAAAGCGGACAATATCTTACTAGGGTCTGCAACAGTTGGTATCAGAGCCAGCCCATGTGCCAGCCGTGACCGCTGGGCCCACAAGGGGGGGTGGATGATGCAGCGCATCCCACATCGGGTTTGAAAGGAAACGAAGCAGGCCTTATATGAGGATGTGGATACTTTCACTAGTAAGACGCGTTTTGGTGGGTGTGTATTGAAGCCCAGCCAAGAACAAAGCCGTGCGGGTGGCGGAAGTAGCCCAAAGTGGACAATATCTTACTAGGGTCTGTAACAGTGTATAATCGGTAGTAGGTAGAGGGTCTATGCTGACCGGGAGAGGCAAGAGCACGAGTATGTGCTGTGGGTGATCACGTCTTCCTGAAAGTCTCGCCCATGAAGGGTGTGATTCGCTTCGGGAAGAAGGGGAAGCTTCGGCCTCGCTATATCGGATCTTTTGAGATCCTTTCTCGAGTCGGAGACTTGGCGTATCGGCTAGCTTTGCCACCGGCCTTGTCGGGGGTGCATGATGTATTTCATGTCTCCATGCTGCGTAGATATGCACATAATCCCGACCATGTGGTGGACTTCGGCGAGCTACAGGTCGAGCGAGACCTCACCTATGAGGAGGTGCCGGTTGCCGTACTGGACCGGAAGGTCCATCAGCTGAGGAACCGGGCAGTGAGTTTGGTGAAGGTGCTATGGAGCCGAACGAGACCGAGGCGACTTGGGAGATCGAGGCCGAGCTTAGGAGGAGATATCCGAACTTCGCTTTTTGATCCCTTTGTACTCCTTCGTATTGTAGTTGTTTGCTTTGTTTTTCTTTTATTTCCGGGGATGGAAATCTTTTAAGGAGGGTAGATTGTAGCGCCCTGTTCGTTTATTAGAATTTTTGGAAACTATGTGATTATTTATTTGCTTTATAATTGA